CACACCTGTGCAAAGGGGGGGGATCTCCCAGAGAGAGCACACCTGTGCAAAGGGGGGGAATCTCCCAGAGAGAGCACACCTGTGCAAAGGGGGGGATCTCCCAGAGAGAACACACCTGTGCAAAGGGTGTGGGGGAGGGATCTCCCAGAGAGAGCACACCTGTGCAAAGGGTGTGGGGGGATCTCCCAGAGAGAGCACATCTGTGCAAAGAGTGTGGGGGGATCTCCCAGAGAGAGCACATCTGTGCAAAGGGGGGGATCTCCCAGAGAGAGCACACCTGTGCAAGGGGTGGGGGAGGAATCTCCCAGAGAGAGCACACCTGTGCAAAGGGTGGGGGGGATCTCCCAGAGAGAGCACACCTGTGCAAAGGGGGGGGGGATTTCCCAGAGAGAGCACACCTGTGCAAAGGGTGGGGGAGGAATCTCCCAGAGAGAGCACACCTGTGCAAAGGGTGGGGGGATCTCCCAGAGAGGTCTGTTAAAGGAGGAAAAGTCACATCTGAAGCCAGAGCTGACACCAGCTCCTAGAAGGACCTCTACATGGACAGCAGGGGAGAACACAAGAGAGGCTGGCCAGGAAGTTCGGGTCTCAGGACGGGGTGTCTAGGTTTATCTCAGGGGCCAATCCCAGTGTCCACTTCCATCAGGGGGACAACGTGTTGATCAACACCTTCAGTGGGTTGCTTAAGATTTCTGACTTCGGCACCTCCAAGCGGCTGGCGGGCATCACACCCTGCACAGAGACTTTCACAGGTAACAGGGTGGGGGTCGAACTCTGGGAGACTTCTGGGGAATGGAGTTTCTCCTGGGTACAGAGTTACAGCTCTAAGGGTGAATGGAATCTGGGGACAGGTGACTAGATCCAGGGGGAGGTGGTAAAATCTAGACTCCCAGGCTGGAGAACTGATGGAAATAGGGTTGGAACCTAAAATGGATGTAAGGCTGTACATGCTGGGAGGTAAAGGGGGGTGGTAGAGTTTGTGGGGAGCATGATGAACTGTCATGTACAAGCCAGAACCATCCGGCGGCTGATGGAGTCCTTAAACGCCATACAGCCTAGCTTAAAGAATGGAAGCTCGGCAGGTGATGGAGCCTAGGTGGATGATGAAACTCGAGATAGGATCTGATGCCCACTATTTGAGGCGATAGGTTCAGCGTGGGTGCAGGCGGCCAGAGGATGGAGAGACTTGAAGCCTAGATTGCTATTGTTCTTCCTGTTCCAGGGACTCTGCAGTATATGGCCCCAGAAATCATTGACCAGGGCCCACGAGGATATGGAAAGGCAGCTGACATCTGGTCTCTGGGCTGCACCGTGGTTGAGATGGCCACAGGTCGACCACCCTTCCATGAACTAGGGAGCCCGCAGGCCGCTATGTTTCAGGTGAGCCCCTCTGGGGCATGGCCTATGCAGGGTGGGTGGAGCCTGATAGGGCCTTGAACACAGCTAAGCTCGGGCTTGTCCTGTCTGCCCCACCTCCACAGGTGGGCATGTACAAGGTGCATCCACCAGTGCCCAGCTCGCTGTCAGCTGAGGCCCAAGCCTTCCTCCTCCGAACTTTTGAACCAGATCCCCGCCTCCGAGCCAGTGCCCAAGAGCTGCTGGGAGACCCCTTCCTGCAGCCAGGGAAGAGGAGCCGCAGCCCGGGCTCTCCTCGGCATACTCCCCAGCCCTCAGGTGCTGTGAGGGGGGAAGAAAATGAACACAGTGGAGGGCAGAGGTGCTGAGGCCGTGAGAAGACGACTCATGGCTTTTTCCTCCCTCAGGCACCCCTTCCACCGATTCCACTCCTTCAGCTGACTCAGCCACCCAGTCCCAGACATTCCCAAGGCCCCAAGCACCCTCTCAGCATCCACTCAGTCCCCCAAAGCGCTGCCTTAGTTATGGGGACACCAGCCAGCTCCGGTGAGTGCCTAGGGTCCTGGAGTGGGTTCCCTTCATCCGGTTTTGCCTTTCTATTCATTTCCTCCAGAAAAGGCCTCCCTGGATCCCGAACACCCTGACCACTTACAAGGACAGCATCTGTTACCTCCTGCCCTCTCTCCCAGATGCATGTTCCCTTCACTCTGCCCACCCCCAGCTGGGCTGAATTTCTGTTATCCCCGTGAAGTAGGCATAAAAGAGCCAGGATTCAAACCCTGCAGCAGAGGGGGCTGCAAGGCGTTGCCCACCCTCCGTCTGACGCTCCTCATTTTGCCCAGTGTGCCTGAGGAGCCCGCAGCCGAGGAACCCGCATCCCCCGAGGAGAGTTCGGGGCTGAGTCTGCTGCACCAGGAGAGCAAGCGGCGGGCCATGCTGGCTGCGGTGCTGGAAGAGGAGCTGCCCACACTAGCAGAGAATCTACTGGAGCAGGAACAGGTGGGCGGCCCGCCCCAGCGCCCCCTGGTGGTCAGGCTGGGATAAGGACTGATGGCCCACCAACGAGCATCTAGGTTGACTGCGGATGGCAACACCCACGGACGCCCCCCTCTCTTCTTAGGATTCTAGACTCAGCAGGAATCATGTGGAACAGCTGCTTCGCTGCCTCGGGGCACAAATCCACACTCCTAACCGCCGGCAGCTGGCCCAGGAGCTGCGGGCCCTGCAAGCTCAGCTGCGGACCCAGGGCCTGGGGCCTGCACTTTTGAATGGGCCGCTCTTCGCATTTCCAGAAGCGGTGAGGAAGCTTCTTCTCAGTTAGGGCTGTGCAATAACAAGTCGTTATTGCAAGGACCTGATGTTCCAGGATTCTATGACTTCCCGGGAAGAAGCACGTCTGTCCAGTCCTGGATTCCCAGTCCCGCCCTTGACCCCAAGTCCGCCCACCTCTCTGCAGCAGACTTTCTAGGGCTTTGCAACTCAAACCCCACCTCTGTTTGAGGTTCAGACTATCTCAGCCGCGCCCTCCCTCCCTCCCTCCCTCCCCAGGTGAAGCAGATCCTCCGCAGACGCCAGATCCGCCCACACTGGATGTTCGTCTTGGACTCGCTGCTCAGCCGCGCGGTCCGGGCGGCGCTGGCGGTGCTGGACGCAGGTAGGTGGGTGGGGTTGGAGCCCGCCAGCCGGCCGGTGGGGGTGTGGCTATGGTGGGTGTGGCTCTGGGGCGTGGCGAACATAAAATTGGGTGGTTGGAGGGTTAGGCGGGAAGGACCCTGATTTGCACTGTTTGGTCACTAACCCCTTCCAACTCCCGGGCCTTCTGGGGTCCCAAACGGTCGTCGCGCTCACCTTGAGCTCAACCCACTCGAATTGACAGAGGTGGAGAAGAAAGCGGTCCCACCGACGTCAGAGGAGTGGAGTAAAGGGGAGTCCCAGCAGAAAACGCTGGAGAGCCAGCAGCTACACAGCCAGCTCCGGCCAGAGCAGGGGCCTCCGCCGCTGACCGAGCAGCTGGGCCTTTTGCGAGCTGAGACTGACAGGTGAAGCCTCCTGGGATCACCCACATAAGCTGTACAGGCTTCAACCCGTGGGTCATTCCGTTCTACTCCCCCCCACCCCCACCCTCTCCCACAGGCTTCGAGATGTCCTGGCTGAGAAGGAACGTGAGTGTCAGGCTCTGATGCACCAGGCCCTACATGGGGTGCATGCAGACACCAGGACTTATGCCCTGGCTCCAGAGCCTCCAGGTGAGCAGACCTGACTAGGGAAGTGTCAGGTTACTTCTAGCAGAGGACACCTTTGGACTCATCACCTGACTTTTTGACAGCCACTCTCTCAAAGGACCAGAGCCTGGTGCAGTGGCTACAGGAACTGAATGTGGACCCAGGCACCATCCAAACGGTGAGCAAGTGTGTGCTGGCTGTCCCTGGCCCCCACCAACCAAAGGCAGGGTCTCTGCTGGTCATCCAGCATCCTAACAGTTTTCCCTGCTGTAAAGACTTTCCATCCTGGAAAAGCTCTTAGTAGGCTCCTCTCATTATGCAGATGGGGAAACTGAGGCCAGAGGGGGAAGTAACCTGCCTGAGAATTTTAGTTGGTAGAAGCAAGAACCTGAGTTTCGGATTCCTTTTGTAACTTTATCTGTTTCTGTGGATCTTGGTTCACAACCAGCTCCTGAGCCATAGCTTCACCCTTCAGACCCTGCTCAAGTGTGCCACTCAAGATGACCTTGTCTATACCAGAATCAGGTATGTCTTGGGTCCTCCAGGGATGAACCATGCATACTTGGTAGCAACACACACACACACACACACACACACACACACACACACACACACACACACACTCACACACTCAGCTGTGAGCCTGCCTTGAGTCCTCCCTGCAAACTACAGGAGAACCAAGGTCGCCTGTGCATGCATAGTGATTCCTAAAGAGAAAGCAGTCCTCCTCCTGGCTGAATCACATTGACCCCTGATGTCCCCAGGGGAGGGATGGTGTACCGAATTTGGAGAGCCATCTTGGCACAGCGAGCAGGAGCCACACCAGTTACCCCTGGACCCCGGGAGGCTGAATGAGGACGTCAAAGGACACAGCCATGGATGGATGAACAGAGAAGGCGCAGGCGGCTTCTGACACGCCCGTCCAGCCCCCAGGAGCAGCTGCAGGACCCAGGCCGGTGGAAATAACTAGGGAGGCACCCAAGGACACTACATACAATCAAAGACTATTAAACAGAACACTTGCTACCATGCTTGTCTTGGCAACTTCAGAAGTGTGTATGTGGGGGTGGGGCGTGTCCAAGGAGCAGCCCCTTGAGGTCTCCATTTCCACGTGACTCTTTCTCAGCCCCTGAGCTCCTTCACACTAATGCCTTGCTACTCAGTAGCTCCGTAAACAGACTTTATTGACTCCAGCCATGGGATGTGCTTTGTGTGGGGTCCACAGAGGGGTTTGACAGGGCTATGCCCTGGGGACCAGGTTAGTTCTGAGGGGCAGAAGGCCATCCACCCATTCACAGGGCCGCTCCAGGAGTGCCTGCCACAGCTGCTTTTCCTCAGGTGTGGAATCCATCCAGGGCACTTGGAGCCCATAGCTGCTGCCTGGATGTGGGTGGGCCAGAGTAGAGGGTATTGTCACCTTGGACACCTCAGATCCCACAAATAAACTTTCTGGTACCAAATTATGCACTACACCCAATCACCCCCAGCTCTTTGAAGACACTTTAAGAAAGGGACAGTTTAATTGAAGGCGTGGTGGCGCACGCCTTTAATCCCAGTACTTGAGAAGCAGAGGCAGGCGGATCTGAGTTTGAGGCCAGCCTGGGCTACAGAGTGAGTTCCAGGACAGCCAGGACTGACTGTTGCGCGCACGCGCACACACACACACACACACACACACACACACACACACACACAGATATATATATATATATATATATATGTACATACATGTATAATATATATGTAATATATATAATACACATACACACACACACCACACACATATATGGGAAACAGTGTCCAAGGCCACCCATGGAGCCCATGCCTCCAAGCTTGGCTCCGCTCAGGGCCCTGCTCTGCTCACCTGTACCAAGGCTGAGGCGTGTGCCCCCCAGCTGGCGACTGGCCAGGGCGCCATGGTCCCACAGAGAGAGCTCCGCACAGGCTTGACGTAGGTCGGCAGGCCCGAAGCCATCATAAACCATGGTGTGGTTGAAGACAGGGCTGAGGCTTCGCCGAACCACTCTTGTGCGCTGGCGGCTGGCCCGGCTGTCATCCGGCAGCACTGAGCTGGGACAGGTGAGAAACGAGGGCTGGCGTCAGGTGACCCACCTCTTGACACCCCCTGCCCCAGACCAGGTCTCCAGCCCTCTCTGTTCTGGGACCTTTACACCGATCTTTTCTTAGTCATCTCTCTCTTCTGAAGCTGATAACTGTTCACGGGATCCCAGAGAGAACTCTCTAAAATGCAGTTCTGCTATTTCCTGGCTTGATGAACTTCAGTATTCCCTGCCCCCACCCCCTTTAATTTCCAAAGCCTCTGAACCGTTGTGCAGAATGTTACTCTGATGTACAATAACGACAAAGACCAAATGGGAGCCCAGAATCAGAGTGGCCTACCCCCGTTTTACTCCTCAAGGGTGAGGGAACACCCAGAAACTCTTAGAGGTTCTCCAAAGCTTACTTTGAAAACCACAGGGCTGAGGGTGTAGCTCGGTGGTAGAACACTGGCTTACTGTGTAGTCTCTGAAGCATTTCAGTCCCCAGCACGTTGAGAGACAACTACAACCAACCGCTGTGAATTACAAGTTCAGGGCCCAGCTCCATAGCTCGTCCTTCCAAGAGTTCCGAGAAGGGGCCCTTGTGGCCTTTCCATCGTGGGAAGAACTATGGTGCACAGCCTCAGAATGCAACCTACAGTGGCTAGTTTTATGTCAGCTTGACACAGACTAGTGCATGGCTCTCAATCTTCCTAACGCGGTGACCCTGTAATACAGTTCCTCATCCTGTGTTGACCTCCCAACCATAAAATTATTTCTGCATAACTGTAATTTTGCTACTGTTATTGATCGTAATGTAAATATCTGATATCGTGATCCTCAGAGCAGTTGTGGACCAGGTTGAGAACTGCTGGGCTAGAATCATCTGAGAGGAGGGAACCCCAACTAAGAAAGTGCCTCCGAGCTACCAGGCAGTGGTGGCACACATCTTTAACCCCAGCACTGGGGAGGAGAGGCAGGTAGATCTCTGTGAGTTTGAGGCCAGCCTGATCTACAAATTGAGTTCCAAGATAGCCAGAGCTGTTATACGGAGAAACCCTGTCTCAAAAAAAAAAAAAACCAAAAAATTAGCCGGGCGGTGGTGTATGCCTTTAATCCCAGCACTCGGGAGGCAGAGCCAGGCGGATCTCTGTGAGTTCGAGGCCAGCCTGGGCTACCAAGTGAGCTCCAGGAAAG